ATATTTATACCTGAGGAAATAGAGATGACACACAGAAATAACTTGGTTTGCTGCTGTGCAGTCTTTGCCTCACTTGGATATACTTTTGCAGCACTAAGTGGCTGAAAGTTTTGCTGCTATGATTGGCTGAGACTGACTGCCTGTTATAAGAGTACACTGTTACGTTAAGCTGAAATTTATTTATTCATTGAGTTTGGTACAGTTATATGCTGAGGCAATTTTAGGCCAAAAAATTCAATTCAACAGCAGGAAATATAGAGGTGTTAAGTTGGTGGTTAATTCAGGTGACCCATGAGTAGTAAGATAAAGAATGAATGGAAAAAAGTGAATAAGCCAAATAGTGGCTGTTGATAAATTCTATGGGACCAGAGAAAGTAAGCAAGGACTGGTAAAGGACAAAACCTGTGTATCTGCTTGAACACAGGGCTGCCTTATTTTTTTTATCTCGAATTTAATGAAGGATTTTTTGGGGTCAGAAAGCCAGACATTTCTGAACATCTGAAAGTACACAAATTCTGACTTTGCCTTTTTTAAAATCTATGTCTCTTGACATAAGGAACTAGAAAGGGATCAATGGATGAGGAAGGGACATTCATCCTTCTGGGACAAGCTCGAGTGACTCCACACAGGCTTCACCTCCCAACATCATGTTTAGCTGTAGACTCACCAGTGGACTAATGCACTGATGAGTATCACACCCCCATGACCCAGTCAGCTCTCTAAAGCCCCGCCTATGAGCCCATGAGTCTTTGTGGGTGGGCATCTGGATATATACCCTAACACTACTAAACTGAAAATCTTACTTAGATTTTACCTGGTCTTCCACTAGGGTCTATTTTCTGACCTAGGATTCCATATTACATTTAGTCATTTAGTCAACCCAACATATATGAGTTTATCATATATGTATGTTTAGGTAGACAATGTTCTACCAAGTTGACACAATTAGAGTTTAAAGTAGTAAACTAATTCTTGTGCTTTTTTACTTCCCAGCCTTGCTTCTGATCGATCGTGTTCTATTAATATTCCTTCTAAATGCCATATAGAACAATGGTTCATAAATTGTTAGGTAGTTTTTAAAGCTTTGAGATCCACTATATGAATAACTTAGTCTTTTCCAATCTATTCTTCAGTGTTCCTTTACTTATACTTTGTGTGTTTGACAGTTCTGAAGAACATTGATCACTTGTTTTGCAGAATGTCCTTCAGTTTGGGTCAAGCTCGTATTATTTCTAAGTGCTTTCCAACAAAGAGTTCAACATGACAATAACACTTATTATTGAGCATTTAAGTTCTGATTATTTGGTTAAGTTTTCCACACTGTAAAGTCACTATTCTGTTTGTAACTGTAACTGCCTAATAAAGTGATATGGGATACATGGATTATTTTTTTCTCAGATTATTTTATAATGTCCCAATAAAATATTTGACAATTCCTTATATTAATACTACCATATATTAACTGCCAGGAAAGACTGTATTTTTGCAAAGCTTATATATACTTTTATTCACACAGAAATTAATAATTATTCAAAGCTTAAAGCAGACAAAGATGTATGGAATTTTATTTGTGACAATGTTTATTAAGTAAATAGAGTAAACAAGTTCATATACTCTTCTTATGTATGTATATCTTATAGTTTGCTTGAGCTTTTCACCTCTCATGACCCAGGGACCATTTCCCATTGCGTCCTGAATCTTTATATTCTTCGATTCAGTCACCTAACTTGGAACTAAGAACTGATTTACAAGACTAAGACAGGAGAAGGTGGGTGTTTGCTGCATTTTTGAGGGATGCACAGTTTATCATGTTTTACCTTTCAGCATTGTTCACATAACTGCACATACATTCTTTTTATAAATTTTTTGCTGATTTATACAAATGTAGATAAAAATCCAACATGTACAATTTTATCACATATGTGTGTGTAGGTAGAAAATGCGTACACAATTAGAGTTTAAAGTGGTAATATAATTCATACTGTTTTCTGTGCTTTTAAAATTCATTTTCTTCCTATGGATTGTGTTCTATTAATATTTCTTTTAATATAGAGCACAATTTCATGAATTGATAGACATTTTTTAAAGCTTTGAGATCCACTATATGAGACAGAGGCTAAATATGAGGGTTACTTAACTCATTCTAGGAATGATTTTACTTCGGGACAAATGTTTGTAATTAAATATATCTGAGATTGGTGATTTTTTTCCATGTCCATTTAGTCACAATTAAAATTTATATTTTGAAAATTTTTAATCAGTGTCCTGGCAATAAAGCTTTGGAAGGTAATTATTCTTTATTAAGTAAATTGGACCAAGATTTTATTATTTTATTATATACAGATAATATTAATTTATCTAAATATATATCACCTGTCTTTACTGTAAAGGGCTGTAGTTTAATATGCTAAAATGTGTTTGATATAGACTTTTGTTATATAAAAATCATTTTATTTAATAGACAATTTACTAATATAAAATGCTGTTTTGCTTTCATTTTTGACCCTCATTAATATGTTCATTTAGTAAAATAATCATTTATAAAGTTTATGTTTTTTCAAAAAGGAACAATTTAAATTACGGAAATTTCAAGATGTTAATGTTTAGTGAATGCAATTTCTTGATTAATTATTTTGTAAATCAAAATTTTAAATCTTAACTAAATATTTAGAAATTCCAAATAGAAAATCAAATTGATCTCTTCAAATTATCTGAGACACTCTAGTTATTATCGTGAGTAAACATAATCATTACTGATTAGCTGCATTTCCATGCTTTACCTAAATTTTAGGACTGTTATAATTTAATGAAATATATTATAGGGCAATTGATAACAATATTTCTCTCAATATGAATGTTTTTGCAAGTTCTTTTTTCGCTGCTGGTGCATAATTTTTAATTACCTACATTAATTTTTCTATGCTTTTTACAAAATAAGCAAGATAATACATTCAGACATAAATATTTATCATTTTAATTAACAATTAAATTTGTATTACAGGTCAAGTAACAAATTATTTGTTAATATTGCAGAATTTTTAATGTAATGTTATATAACTGTTTGGTGTATTAAAGTTTTAAAATATTAATATATTTGATTCTTTCAACCAACTTGTGATTTTTTAAAAGAAGAGATTATTTTCTAGTAAAGCACAAATTATTCATATCACAATACTGAAAACATAGAAATTTTCCAGGTATAGTTCTACTAGGTTATACACATTTCTCTAACTTGGCAAGAACTTTGTCTGTATTAAATATTAACCTTGACAAAGCTGAAACATGTGTGACTATTATCATTATGTATTATCAGAATATATCAAGGGCTGGGGATTTAGCTCAGCAGCATAAGCACCTGCCTAGAAAGCGTGAGATCATAAGTTTGATTCCCGGTACCACCCCAGGAAAAAAAATATATGTATGTAATGAAACTATAGTTAATATGAAAAAATATTCACAAATTTTTGAGTAGGAAAAAGCAGTCTCTTAATATATCTTCATGTTGATGGTCAAAAATTTTAAAAAGAAAGTCGTGAAGAACTATATGTATAAATAGTTTTTTAGCTGAATAAGAACTCAATAACATTCAATATAATAGGGTTATTTAGTTTTACAAAGTCAGAGTATATTTTGCATTGAAATATTTACCTACCTACACAATTTTCTTACCTTTATAAAAGATAGCAAGTAGCCAGGTGTGTACTATGTATTTCGAATCACAGAATTTGGGAGGTGGGCTGAAGCAGGAAGAACAGGTGTTCAAGGCTAGTCAGCACTCCATAAGGATTACCTGTCTCAAAAATGTAGATAGGAATGTAAACCTATTCCTTTTTTCATTTTTATTTTTGTTAGTACCTGTTTTCAAGGAATAATAATCATGTTCATTGTGAGGAGTTGGTACATGTATGTAACACACTTTAATTTCTTTTCAAGCTTTTCTTCTTTTCTCTTTCTCTCTTGGTCTCCTTCCTTTTTGCAAAAGATATATCTTCCCATTTCATATTATTTATTTTTTATTTTTCTCCAGTTTATATCTTGGATTCTTCATGTAAGAGAAATCATGAAATATTTACATTTGTGTGTGTGACTCATTTCACAATAGGCGTGTACCTAGAAGCTGATTCTGGCGGCTAATTGGTTTATTTTGAATTGAAAAATAAAACATGCATATATGATATAACTAAAAAAATAATTTGACTTTATGACCCAGTATTATATTTTCGTACATATTTATAAAGATGTAGAAACATTTATTGTGTTAGAGAAAATTGTACGGGAAGCTGAATTTGAATTGACTTTTTAAGAAACTATACTGTATTGGTGGACAGATCATGTGTACAAAAAGGCATCAAAATCAGGGAGATTATTTTGATTCAGTATTTTACTAATGACTAACTAACCCTGTACAGAATGGCTATGTCTTTTATTGTCATTGCCAAAGCTCAGAAGCTATAGTTAATGTGAATATTGAACATGTGGTCAAGATTTACAGAAAACTCTATGAAAACTGAGTTGCAGTAGGTTCACAAAGTAATCATCATTCAAAATGACCAAATGAAAATATGCAAAAAAAAATTTACAAAGCAACAGAAGAAAATGACAAAGTTCAATCTTTTTCTTACAAGTTATACCTCAGGTTATATATTTTATTAAATAGCAAACAGATAACTTTGCTTTAGACTTGTCTACACATATGTAGCAACAGGTAACAATTTAGAGAAAACCAGAATAGAGTGAATAAAAAATGGTAAAAATATTGATACAATTTAGAAGTAATTAAAACTGTCTCTAAGAAACAGGACTTCTTAAAATTTATGAAATTCAGTAGTTCAAGGTGTTAATTTGTTCTTTGTAATTCATTTCCAAAGTAAAGTGTAGAAGAATGTTATTTTAATCATTTTCAGTCCATGTTTTTACATTTCAATAAAATAATTGGAACCTTCAGTTTTATTCAATCTTCATTGTTGCTATTCTCTACCTTAACACTTCCGAAGTTAACAATGGAAAACCAAACGACAGTGACAGAGTTCATTCTTCTCGGATTAACAAACGATGTCAAGCTTCAAGTTGTGCTTTTTCTTTTCCTGGTGCTGACTTACATCCTAAGTGTCACAGGAAACATGACCATCATCATTCTGACGCTGGTGGATTATCGCCTCCAGACTCCTATGTATTTCTTCCTCCGAAATTTTGCTGTTTTGGAAGTATCTTTTACATCTGTATTTGTTCCCAAAATGTTAGTCAATATGAGAACTGGAGACAAGACTATCTCTTTTGCCAGTTGCTTCACTCAGTACTTCTTTGCAATCTTGCTAGGAGCAACTGAATTTTACCTTTTAGCAGTGATGTCCTATGATCGTTATGTTGCTATTTGCAGACCCCTGCATTACACAACTAGAATAAGCAGGAGACTTTGCATTCAGCTTGTGCTGTGTTCCTGGTTCTCTGGCTTTGTAGTTGTCATTGTGCCATATGTGATGACGCTCCGGCTGCCTTTCTGTGCATCCAACATTATCAATCATTATTGTTGTGACTATACTATATTGTTGCATTTATCTTGCTCGGACACACATCTCATAGAAGTGATTCAGTTTGTTCTTGCTGCAGTGACCCTCATCTTTACTCTTTTCTTGGTGATTCTTTCCTATACCTACATTATCAAGACCATTCTGAGAATCCCCTCTGTTCAAGAGAGAAAAAAAGCTTTTTCTACGTGTTCCTCTCATATGATTGTGGTCTCACTTTCTTATGGAAGCTGTATCTTTATGTACATAAATCCTTCTGCGAAGGATGCAGCAACTTTTAATAAAAGGGTAGCTATTTTAAATACCTCCGTTGCTCCTCTGTTGAACCCATTTATCTATACTTTAAGGAACAAGCAAGTGAAAGTAGTCCTTAAAGATATGATAAACAAGATCACAATTTTTAAAAAAAGTGACACTATTTGAGGATCATTATTAAAATAACAAGTCTTCAGAAGGCTATAGTTAGACATTATTATAATGTAAATATATTTACTATATTACATAGTTAATATTCCTACTTGTATGCTGATACAGTGAAACAATTTATGTAATTAAGGCAATTTTTCATGTTTCTGCTCTCAAAATTCTAAATCTCTCTGTAACTATGTTTGTTTTCTCTAATATTTTGCTATTTTTCCTTGGTCAGTCTTTTCTTTAAAAAATCGTAAAATTAGAATTTTATTTTATTTTATTTTATTTTACTATCTTTTTGAGACAGGGTGTTGTTATGCAGTGCAGGCTGGCCTTGAGTTTACTTTGTAGCCATGCTTGCCTCAAACTCGCAATTATTCTCTTGCCTTAGCCTCAAGTGCTGGGATTATAGGTGTGCACCACCACAGTTGGCTTCTAAAATTAGAATTTATAATATGAATTTTAATAATGTTTTTGAAACTGAATTAAAATAATTTTATCCGTTGTCATATGGCATTTGATTTCTATAGTTGTAATTTAATTAAAATTATGTGGCAAAGGAACTTTCTTATCTTGTTAATAATAGCTTAAGTAATATATTGAATTGATAACAAATTTGTTATTTTCAAATTTAAAATTTAGCTGAAAATTTAGTACTTTCATAATATTTATTTAATAAGTGAGCATACTAAGTGTGTAAGGAAATTCTAAAAGTAGGGAAATCTGATATGTTCATTATAATATTGATAAGAATGTTAAACACTTCATTAGAGATGATGGAATGATTTGAATTCAAGATAATCTGAACTATGTTTTCCTAGAAAACTGCGCAATTTAGTGTTGTGCATCATCATTGTTCTAGTTCTTATTTAATGGGATTATGAAATAAAGTCATATTAGTATTATTCATGGTGTATTCATGGTGAAATAATTTAATGTTCTTAAATCATACTCCTTTGAAATTCTTTTCTCTTTGTTAAATCATCAGTGTTTATAATCAGATATTATTGAGCAGAAATTCTATCACAAATAAAAACTACTATTTTCTGAACACTTTTATCTATATTAATATTTTAGAATTAATGAATCAGATTTTAAAATGTGAATACTCTAAATATTTCTATTCCAGCCTATTGAGCACTTATATGAAGATACTAGAGATGAGTACTACAGAGGTTACTAGCTTTTTCTAAAGTGAATATTTAAGAAATGCCAAGTTTTCAGTCATGAAATCTTTATATTTCCTTTGATTAATAATGGGATAATTAATATGTAGCAGGGTTAGTAAAAGTATGTTGGTAGAACTGTAGAAAAGAAAATTGGATTAAATTGTTCAATTTGAGGCTTTCTCTATACAGAGCCATAATTATGCAAAAATTCACCTGAATACATAACATATAACTATTACTGAGTCATTTTGTTTATGATTTAGTCAACTGAGCCCTTGATTATGGCATTAGTTTGGATCATTCCTATATCATTTACCCCCCTGGGGCATTCTAATATGGAATGTCTAGGAGTGTCCTAACCTGATCTATATATGGGATTTTTCAGCCAGAATTAACAGCTACATGTGGTCCAGACCCAGGTCTACTCTGTTTAGTACCCATTTGATTAAACAAGGGGCTATAGAGTGGTAGCCATGTGCAGCCTGGGAGGAAACGCAACTAGCAAATTTGCTATTGCTATGTGGCAGTGGCAGCTTTGTGGGGCCTGGAGGAGAAACAAGAAGCCAGTTGGCCCTTCCCATGAACTAGCCAGCATGGGCTGGGAGACAGGACACTCCGCACCCTCCAGACAGCAGCCAGCTGAGTCAGAGGCTGAGGTGATAGCAACTGAGATTTAAAAACAACTTAATGCTAATATTGTTTGACTGACTTTTTAGTCTTACAGTCAGTCTGAGCATCTATTTAGAGGATAACAATATGCAATATAGCAATTGTGGGGAATTTCCTTCTGTCTTGTTTTTGAAATCAAATATTGCTCTCACTGTTTTGCTCTGTTTTATTGATTTGTTTTCTTCACATTTTGTTTTGACTGATTTTAATGTTACTTTTAAAAAATTGTTTTATGTCTGATGGTATGGGCAACTATCTTGAATATAACAAGAGGCATTATGGTAGCCATTGTTGATTTCCTATTACCTGTTCTGAAGTTGTTTCACTTCCACTGTTTTACTTTGATCGGCTTTATTCTGTTTTATTTTGTTTGGTTATTCTTTTAAAAACCAATCCAAACCAAACCAACAGCAACAACAGCAAAAAAAAAAAAAAAAAAAAAAAAGGAGGTCTATCAGCAATGGCCCTGCCAAGCTGAATAACAATGGAGTTAGCCAGGAATTCCAATTATACATATGAGTGTACCAACTCTGGAAATTTTGGTGACCTTTGTTTGGCTCGTCTGTCTAGTCTCTCTCAGGCCTTAGCTAAGTTGTCCTGACCTGTTCACATAGAAACAACATTCTTCTCCTAGGGGAGCACAAAGTCCTAATTGTTCCATAAAGAGGAGGTTTAGTCCTCTTCTGTTTTGGAGAACAATTTACGCTAAAGAATTAACCTGATCATGCAACTATTGTACAGCTGACAGATTTTTCTCAAAAGCTTGTGATGTACTTTAGAATCCTGGAAGTCTTGAACAGGGAGTAGGATTGGTGACTTGTTTTGTGGGTGGCCTGACTGGCGGACAAGGAGCTGTAGTGCCCCCCTCCCGCTCCAGGTGAATACTTTGAGGAATATTAACAAATGACAAGTTTCGGTTAGAATCGTATCTGGGTTAATCCATTTAAGAAGGCCTTATTGGCAAAGAAGTCAACTCCTGTTTGGAGTTTGAGTGTGAGGGAGGGTTAGGTTGCTTGGAATACCTGGGTATTATTCATTGGTTGTTTTACCTACACAAGTATCATTATTATCTATTAAGATGAAAAAATTGTCCACAAGGTTAGTGGGTCTCTCAGGGAAGGCCAGCCTCTCAAAAAAGGATGATTGTGCCCAAATACTGAGCCAAGAGTCTTGGGCCAAGTCTGGTCTAGTGTGGTTTAATATGGATGTGGTCCCTCCCACTTAGGTTGGAGGGATTTGTCCTTCCAACCCTTAGCCAGAACCTGATCTGGCTTAAAAGAGTGCACAGGAGTACAGGAATAGGATGGCATTCCAAAACAGGCTTTTGAAGTTCTTCAAGGGTTTGATTGAGAGCCTTTATCTGCCAATGGAGGTCATATGACCCACCCTCTAGCAGTCCTTCCAATACAGGAACAAATGGGGGAGGCTTCCCATCAAAATTTCAAAAGGAGTGAGATCACTTTTGTGTGGTGTGCATTGAGAATGGAAGAGGGCCACAGTCATCCATGTGACTCCAGTGTCTTGGCAGAGCTTGGTCACAGTGGTTTTGAGGTTGTGATTTTGTCTTTCTATCTGGCCAGGGCTCTGAGGCTGACAGGCTGTGTAGAGCTTCCATTTTAGCCCCGAAGCTGAGGTTAATCCCTGGACTGTTTTACCCAGGAATGCTGGTTCATTATCTGACCCAGGGGTCATGGGAAGCCCATACTAGGGGACAATTAGCTCCAAGAGGGTAGTGGTCACCTCTCTAGAGGTCTCAGTTTTAGTGGAGAGCGCCTTCCCTCAGTCTGAATAAGTACAGATCAGAACCAACAAATAATTCCTGTTTCCCATGGTCTGCTGGATCTTGGTGAAATCAACCTCGAAGTCTTCCAACAGGGTGGTTTCTATTCTTTGAACACCAGACTGGCAATGTGGCTGCTGTGCAGGATTGTGGCAGCCAGAAGTTCTGCACATTCAACCTCCAAGGAACATAGTTTCCAAAGTCTAGGAACCTAAACATACCACTGGAACAATTCCACCATGGCAGTATATCCCAAGTGTGTCTGGGCATGCAGGTCATTAATCAGATATTGTCCTAAGGCTGCAAGGCGGAATATAGTCCCTGCTGGCATCCTTAGACAACCATTGTGGTCTGTGGCACCCTCTGATTTGGCCCATTTGAATTCAGTCTGGAATAAGTGAGGGTTTTGAGTATGGTGCCAAGAACATTTTTTGAATTTGAGGATGTCCAAGTGGGCTGCCTGCTAGATCCACAGTGCAGTTGCCTCAAGTGAATCACCCCTCTAGTGGCTAGGACAATGTATAACAGCCACATTCTTGGGCAGCCACATTGCCTGTAGTAATCTTAAAATCTCTTGGGAAATTTTAATATCTTTTCGTCCTGCAATCAGAAGTCTCTTTTCCTTATAAACAACTTTGGGCACTCATTTTTAAAACATTTCTTTCCTTTGAAATAGGTGTATTGTTCTGGATCTAGAGGAAAATGATGTGATCATGATCTGGACCCTTCATTTAAAAAAATATTTTAAAGAGATTAAGACAAAAGAGGACATATCAAAGCACATCAGATCAGAACAATGCAAGCAACACAACATTTTACCACAAGACAACCCATAATTAACAGTAACTACCATAGTGTCTCTTTCTTTGAAATAATTGAGCATAGCTTCATATACGATAGTATCAAGCATAAGAAAACAGTATAAAACCATTTAAGAGAATGAAAGCATTACAGGGCTTTCAGAAGCAAATAGCAGAGAACAAACAATGGCTACTGTATTATCTCATTTTCCATAGAAAATTTGTTTATATTATCACACATAATAATATCCAATAAGATATAACAGGATAGAACCAAAGGCAATAGAAAAACAAAAGCATAGTAGGACTTCAGAGTAAGATGATACTAAATCAGCTCTGGCTCTTCTAATGTCTCCTTTTCTTTAAAATAGCTATTTATACTATCACAGATAATAAAATCAAACAAACTAGGATAAAACCATTCCAACTAATGAATGCAGACATTATAGGGCTTCAGAGCAATGTAATGGGGAATCATGATTACTATAAACTCTTATGTACTCTTACCATTTTTACACTAGGAAGACTATTCGTTATTTATACATGTGAGTTTTATTTATTTGGCTTATGAGTATGGTCTCAAATTGTGTCGAT